CTAACAAAACCCCCAAAGTGGAAATCCCCAGTAAATGGCAAGGAGCCTAACTTTTGACTCTATCATCTCTCATTGATCCATAAAACCCTTGCGCAGACTTTATCAATGTTAATTAATAACGCCAATGAAATTCCAGAATGGATCACTGAAAATATTGCTTATTTCCTGCTGAAAACGAGTGAAGCAGATGGTCTAAAAAATTATAGGCCAATAACATGTCTGCCCACCACATAAAAATTATTCACGTCTGTCCTGACGAACTGTACATACTCTTTCCTCGAAGAAAACAACATTCTTCCTCTGAAACAGGAGGGATGACGAAGAGGCTCATATGATTAAAAAGATCAACTGTTAATAAATAAAATGATCCTGGAAAATTGCAGTAAAAAAAGGTAGAAATCTCAGCACAGCTTGGATAAATTACAATTAAGCCTTTGATAGTGTGCTTAAAGATTAAGAAAATAGCCTCCTCAGTGATTGTAAATTGACATTAGTATAGCATGGAAATGTGGAAAGCGATATAAAACTTAATTGTTTGAATATCCGACGAGAAATCATTCAAGGAGACTCCCTATCATAGTTTCTGTTTGGTCTGTCCTTAATCCTTAAAACAAATATTGCCGAAGAGTTAAGCTGTTTAAAAAAGCGGTGTCATGGGAGAAATCGTTCTTTTTAGAGGAAGGACCATGTTTGCCCTATCACAAGTTGTACAGAATGAAATATTGACCATTCACTGGAATCCAAGCGTCCACTCTGATAATGTTATAGCTTCAGCGAATAAAAAACAACAGATCTTTGAAAATGTTTGAGAAATTACGTAATACAAAGGACCTCGGGATAGAAATAAGTAGAATGTGACATCTGAAGACAGCAGCGTTACCTGTTGTTATTGAATCTTTGAGTATAGTATCAAAAGTAAGAAATGAATACGTACATCAAAATACCGATTACCCTAAATGAATTGAAAAAAGAAATCGTATTTATAGATAGTTTTCTTGTCTTGCGTAGAGTGCTTTCTAGGGCAGGGTTTTTCAAACTGTGGGTCCCAACCCTTCAGTGAGTCGCGAGATAAATAAAATGGGTCGCGACATAAAAAGAAAGACAGGAAATTTTTTTCTCTATTCCACGTGTCATTTTTCCTCTCATTCCACGTGTATCATGTCTTCCTCGCATACCATGTGTGCCATTTTTTCCTCTCATTTCTCATGTACCATTTTTCCTCTCATTCAAAGTGTGACATTTTTTCCTCTCATTTCTCGTGTGCCATTTTTTCTTTCGTTCCGTTTTAAAAATCGTTAGAATATCCAGGACAGTGCTGGACAGTTCACGAGAACTGTGACTTGATATTCATATACTAGCTACAAATAATGCCTCTATAAAAAGTCAAAGAATAATAATAATAATAATAATAATAATAATCCGGAGACAACTGACAATTTGGCAGCTCTAGGGTCAATAGAAAACTTGAAACGACATGAAAGTCCTGCCCATTCCATACATTGGTCAATATGTTGCGCATTCCACCTCCCTCAATATTTGTGGGAACAGACCAATCGATCAGGCATAATTGTAAAACGTCAAGTTGAAAACATCTGTCTTCTGATAGAAGATTCCTCCCCAGCCGACGAAAGCCCATCTTTGAAAACGTTTAAGAAGCCAATAGAATGCAAGGAACACGAGATAGAAGTTAGTAGAAGATGAAAGCTCAGGACAATATTACCTGCCGTTATTTGGAGCTTTGGGAATTGTATCAAAAGCAGCAAATAAATACGTAGATCAAAATACTGGTTACCCTAAAAGATAAGAATTAAAAACAAATCACATTGATATGCAGTTTCATGTCTTGCTTAGAGTGTTGTACCTTCTCTTTTTCGTATTCTCTCTAAAATTGCGATAGATAGTTTAATAGATAGGCAGATATGAACAGACATAGATATGAAAAGACACACACACACACACACACACACACACACACACACACACACACACACACACACACACACACACACACACATTCTTTCGTTTTGGGTCCAGAGATGAAAAGAGACATCAACAAAGGGAATTTTAAAATTAACTATTTTATTAAACACGTCGACATTTTTAACTAGCCGGTGAGATCTCTCTCTCGCCCCACTGTGGAGTAGATCTAAACACGATAGAGAACACGTCTATATTGTTCGACGTGTAAGAAGCAACTCATTGAAATAACCTTTCTTTATCTATCTTTCCCACGCTAGTTTAACCAATAAAAATAGACTTCTTTTGTTTTGTACTGTATCTGACCTCAAAGGTCGAACTGAGGAAGTCAGAGCAGAAATACATTTCTCTATAAAACTGCTAAACTAATATTTAACAAGTGTACTCTCTATGCAATAGCTACTACATTTTGATTGCCTGACAACTGTTGTTTGCCTGTCCTGATGCAAAACACCTTACTCGCACTCATGAATCAGCTTCCTGTGAATTTCTGCATAACTTATCCAGGGTGGAAGATTGTAAAGCATATCACTTCTATCCCTGAAGTGTCGACTAAGTATAAATAAATGCAATCATTAAAAAAATTAAAACTCTGTTTCATGTCGGATTAAAAAAATAATATCCGTTATTTCTTTAGAAATTGCTTTGTGTACGTTTATTATAGAAATTGAACAGATATGGGCTTCAAAGACAAATAGAACTGTGCTTTATTGCGACGCTCTTCGTAACCACGCGGTAAAAACAGGCCGGATCAGATGGTGGTTCCTCCCGTAGAGTGAAGGTGCGCAGGTTCGAATCCTACCGAAACACATATTCCCTTTAGACGCAGGTCAGTAGAAGAAATAAATACTGTTCAATATAACCGTAGTTCTACTCGAATACAGGTATCCACTAAAAATAACGTTTGAAGTAATATATATATATATATATATATATATATATATATATATATATAATAAAAAGGCTTAGACACTAATACTCCATGGTCATAATTTATTACATTGGTATCGTAAATACGATGCAATTCATCAGACCTACAAATTCAAAAAAATTATTTCACTACATGGCACAGTGGATAATGGCGTTGTTTTGATCCAGTGTCAGGTCCCAAAGAATGTGAGTTCAATACCTGGTTAAGGCAGTGGAGAACTTTCAGAGGCAAATTAACAGGAGATAACTGATAACTGACATCCATTAGACGTGGCACATGGAACTAGATGAGTCTACCCCAGTGAGCGAAATAAAGGGTTCAGTTCGACATTCCACCCACCTGAAGAAGGCCGGAGTTTACAACGGCCAAAACGTTGTAATAAATATGCCGACAAAGATAAGGACAATAGTCCGAATAATGTAAATAATGTGCAACACCAAAAAGTTAAAAAAATAAACAATATATCAATTCCCCCTAATGTAACGGCATCAACAAAACTATTTGCCCCTTAAGGGCAAATGTCAACATGAATGTGTAGTATATAAAGTCGAGGTATATAGCAATAAAATTAACAATAAACGTAATGACAAAAAAAGTTAACGTTTGGTTCGAATCAGAGACCATTTAAAAAAAAATATTATAACCATAAAAGTAGTTTCAAACAGGAGATATATAGACATAGAACTTGTTTATCTAATCATGTGTGGAAAATTAATAAAGAGGAAAGCGTAGACCCCATATTAAAATGGAAGATAATACAAAATACTGCAAATATAAGGCCGGCAATAGGTATTGCTTCCTATGTATGGGGAAAAATTAGCCATAAACATTTATAATAACCCCAACATCAGAGATCAGAAATTGTAAACACAAAAAGCCTGGTTAATTGAATAAAAGGATATTGAGATGAGTTTCCTTTTTTTAAGGTGGCCGTCATTCCAATAAAATACCTTTGGCTTACTTTTTTCTTTTTCTTTTCTTGTTTTGTTTTTATGCTAATTTTATTATTCTATGATGGCTGTTTTTATCAATGAAATGTCGTTTGGGTCAACCCTCTTTAGACAGGAGTATCCTTAAGAAACTTAGGTAGGTAGGTTCTGGCTCAATAGATTTTTAGATTTTGCAAGACTTAGTGTATTGAGTACTTTTACGTTTTACTTAATTTCCTCTGACGGTGATTTTTTTTCTTTTGACTAAGCATTTCAGTGAAGATTGAGTTTTTTTTCGACGAACGTGAAAGTCTTTAGTCTTTTCTTTTTTTACTGAATTTTTTCCCTGATATCAGTTTGTTCAAATATATTTTTATTTACAAATTGTTTTTTCTGTTTTTTTTTTTAATACCGCCCGAGTATAGCTATTAAAATAATATATATATGTGTGTGTGTGTTTTGTGTGTGTATATATATATATATATATATATATATATATATATATATATATATATATATATATCATCTCTGTTTTTAATATTTTATATTAAAAAGACCTATTTGAATTATCCTTCCCACTTACGGATTTGATATTATGATAGATAGATAGATAGATAGATAGATAGATAGATAGATAGATAGATAGATAGAAAGACAGATATGAACAGACTGAAATTGCGATAGATAGTTTAATAGATAGGCAGATATGAACAGACATAGATATGAAAAGACACACATACACACACACACACATATATATATATATCATGGCAAGAATGATAGCTAGCTAGTTAGATAGATAGATAGATATATAGATAGATAGAAATAGACTGTGAAAGATGTGAAGACAAAGATATGAAACGCCTGAGTTAAATATGAAAAGTATATATATATATATATATATATATATATATATATATATATATATATATATATGTAGATATATAGATAGGTAGATAGGAATGACAAATGAGAAAAGATACATTTTATTTTAATAAACACAAGTTTCTATTTTCTACAAGATCAGAATTGCTTACACGAAAATAATCAGAATAGATACTAAAGCTAAAATGGCGATGACTTTTCTCTACAACCTTATTTGTAAGGCTGGCATTATCGACATTCTGACTCTACATCGGGCCATTCATCAAAGTCAAGTCTTGATGCCCAACAAATCGGCTATTCATACCGGTCAAGCAATCCAGTTAAGTCCCTCCCGCCAGCGGTTGCAGCCACAACAGCGTTGCAGAGTGACGCCTGAATGGCAATATCGATCGGATTAAATGCTGAACAAATTATGTGTTGTTTTTTTGATGGATTTTTTTTAATAAAAAATACACACACGGTCGGTTTTGATAGGACGAATCAGTTTTACATCGCATCTATCTTAGTCTGTACGTATCTGTCTATATACTTATCTATCGCAATTTCTTTCTTGCTTTCTCGTTCTGTTCATATCTATCTATCTATCTATCTATCTATCTATCTATCTATCTATCTATCTATGTTCATATCTTGTCCAGTCTGTTGATATCTATCTATCTATCTATCTATCTATCTATCTATCTATCTATCTATCTATGTTCATATCTTGTTCAGTCTGTTGATATCTATCTATCTATCTATCTATCTATCTATCTATCTATCTATCTTGTTCAGTCTGTTAATATTCATATCTTGTTCAGTCTGTTAATATCTATCTATCTATGTTCTATCTTGTTATCTATCTATCTATCTATCTATCTATCTATCTATCTATCTATCTATGTTCATATCTTGTTCAGTCTGTTGATATCTATCTATCTATCTATCTATCTATCTATCTATCTATCTATGTTCATATCTTGTTCAGTTTGTTGATATCTATCTATCTATCTATCTATCTATCTATCTATCTATCTATCTATCTATCTATCTATCTATCTAATGTATGTATGGCCGTATTTCTCCTCATATCATCTTCCCAAGCCATTCCAGTCTATCCGTGAATTTGGGAAATTTCATTGAAATAATTTTGACTCGGCCCTAGTATTTCAGTAAGCGGATACACATAACAGTTCTGATGTTCGACGTTAATGGTGTGTGACTCACCCTGCCTATCTACATACATATATACATACATTAAATACTTTTTCCCGGCCTGAATCGAACCTGTATCTTACACGGAACCGGCATATAGCCTGATGTGCCATACGTACTAACCAGATGCTTCCTTTGTAGCTAAATGGTATTGCACATCAGTCTATATGCTGGTTCCGTGTAAGATATAGGCTGGATTCCTGTTGGAGGACACATATTTTCTTTGAAATTTCTCGGACATTCAGTCCAGTAAATGTTGTTAATACTGTTTATGATAAACAGAGCATTTATTAAAAAACATTATTTATAAAATATTGTATAAACAAAAATATATTAATTAATATGTGTGTGTGCGTATGTGTGTGTGCTAGAGGATCCTACATCTGGCAACAGGACTGTGCACCATGTCACACAAGCAAGAGAACCCAGTCATGGCTGTCAGACAATTTCTGCAACCACATCACCCTTAACATCTGGTCACCTATCTCATCAGACTGCAACCATCTTGATTATTATGTGTGGGGCGCACTTGAGCGAGAGAGATTAATAAAATTCCTTGTAACACCAAAGATGAGCCGAAGGCGAGGATTATAGCAGCATTCAACAACTTAAACAAGGAGATTGTTCAGAAGAGTTGAAGGAGATTCCGAAGTCATCTGGAAGTTGAAGTTAAAAACAATTTTATTGAATAAATTTACTCTTTAGCATTTCAAGATATTTTTGTGTCATTTTTGGTAAATATATCTGTTAAAATGATATGTTAGTGTTATTTTCATTTTTGCGTCATTTAGATGTCAATCTATCCATTCTACAATATATATATATATATATATATATATATATATATATATATATATATATATATATATATATATATATCACGTATTTAGGCAACAAGATTTCATTGAAACAAATTTGATTACATAACACCGACAGAAGTGTTTTAAATTTCTTTTTCATATATTCCAGTCACCGTCATTTTTAAGAATTTGGAGCGACCAGTATGTTGGGCCAGATCTATTCAAATGACATTCAAAGTTTTTAGAAAGGAATTGGAGAAACAAGACAGATTTTTACTATTTTTCAATGTAATCCTCCTTGACATAAATACGCTTGATCCAATGATGCTGAAGTATTGCAATCTCATTACTGAAAAAGATGGCGTTCTGATCCTCCAAAAACACCTCCACGACACTTATGATCTCATCATTGTTTACAAAATATCCCCCATGCACTATGTTGGCCAAAATAACTACTCAAAAGGACTCTATTCCTTCATCTGCATCTTTGAAAGCCCCGGAAGTAACACCTAAAAGTCAGGGGATGAATGCCTCCTCCCCTTCGGCTAAATATCAGCCACCCTGGACACGAGGAAGCAGCAATCAGAACACTGAGCCCAACCCTACAATGACACCAACTATAATTAACTCCAATAACCCTACTCCTTTAGTAACTGCCCCTGTTGGCAGAAAGGTGAGAGAACCGAAATTGGAAAGAACCTACCATGATACTTTCTAATTTTACTTTACATTCAACCTTGATAAAAAAAATTTTTTTTTTTTTTTTTAAATTTGTCTTATTTAGAAAAAAAAATTCTTTTACTGTAACAACTTTTGACAAATGGAGTTAAGTTTTTTCAATATAAAATATATTGTGTAGTGGTTTTAAGTTGATTAAAGTTGTGTATAATTGAATATTTATGCATGAAGTGTGTATGTGTGTGTGTGTGTGTGTGTACATACAAAGGTCATTCAAAAAGTTCTAAGCTTCACCTAGGAGTTGGAGAAGCAAGACAGTTTTTCACTCTTTTTCAATATCGTCCCCCCCTTGACACCAATGCACTTGGTCCAATGATGCTTAAGCATTACAATTCCATCACAAAAGAAAGTCTTCCAAAAACTCCTCCACGACACTTATGATCTCATCATTGTTTACAAAATATCCACCATGCAGGTAGGATTTTTGTTTAGGAAACCAGAAGAAGTCAGATGGAGATAAGTCTGGTGAGTAATGGGGGATGATGTAGCAATTCAAAGCTACTGTTGGCTGCTTCATCTACTGCAACCTGAGCAGTGTGAATGGTCATGTTATTCTGGAGCAAGAGTGCAGTTTCTCTCTGCATTTTGACTTGATTTCTTCTTTCAGTTGTCTTCATTCTAATGAATAGTACTGTCCATTAATAGGTTTTCCCTTTTTCATGTAGTCTATCATGATTGCACCTTCAGAATAATAAAAAGAAAACAGAAGCCATCACCTTGCCAACAGACGCTGCATACTTGAACTTCTTCAGGAGGGGGTTGAGAACCAGAGTGTTTCCACTGTTTGCTTTGAATCTTTGATTCGGGTCCGATGTGGTGAACCCAGGTTTCATCTTGAGTTACTAATCTGCGGTGAAAATTCTCAGGGTCAGCCTGGAAGTGAGTCAGAAGCATTCTGGAAATGTCAACCCTTTTCAGCTTTTACTCATTCTTGGTACTCATCTTGCAGACAGCTTACTCAGCACCCAAGATCTCAGTTACAACGGTAGAGACCGAACCAGAATCAACGTCTATGGATTAGGCTATCTGTTGGACAGTAACACGTGTGTCATCCAAAGGTATACGGTGAATGGCATCAATTTATTCGCCAGTGAGGATCATCTTCTAAACTGTCCCTACCCCAGCTGAATTCCACAGCTCACTTCTTCATGGTTGCATAGGAACGGGAGTCCTTAACAAATGTCTGTACCATGTCCCCATGGATTTCCTTAGGGTGTCATATATTTTACGACTGCTTGGGCCTCTTTTTTTGTCCATTTTAGATTTGTCACACACCCCTCACCTTCATATGGGCCTCACTGGCACAGAAATTAGGACAGAAATCTGAATTTTTTCCTAGTTTTATAAGAAGTGGTAGTATGTTGCCACAACAAAAAAGTTCAGCATTTCTTTCTGGGTGAGACAGAATTTTTTAAACGATCCTCATATCTATATATTTTTTCATGATCATTTCAATAGGATCCTTTCATATTCACGGATAACCCACTTCTTCATGGTTGCATAGGAACGGGAGTCTTCAGCAAATATCTCTACCATGTCCTCATGGATTTCCTTGGGGTATCACACCTTTTCTTTTACAGATACTTTATGACTGCTTGGGCCTCTTTTTTTCCATTTTTAGATTTGTCGCACGCCTCTCACCTTTGTAAGGGCCTCACCAGCACAGAAGTTAGGACAGAAATCGGAATTTGTTTTTCTAGTTTTATGAGAAGTGGTAGTGTGTAAAATGTTCAGCTCTGGCTCTTCTTTCAGAGTGAGGCTTAGAAATTTTTGCACGACACCTGTATTTGACTAAATTCCGACCATTTTAGATTGCTGGAATCAGAATTTGAGGTGATGTCGTCTGCAACGGTCAAACGGAAAAAACATTTTAATATGAGATTTTATTTTCCCGTCACATTTATCCTCATCCCCATCAGTCGCTCGACTGCTTCAAATGTCGGGGGTACCTAAGGTCGGTAGAAACAGACAACACCCTCTGGGATGATCTGTCAGCGGTGGCTCTCAGAATTCTGGTATTGTCATGTCCGTCGACTCTTTGAGGTTGTCTGACCAGGTCTTGCGCTGGCGCTCCCGCTTGCATCTGCATTCAGCAATGCCTTGCGTGATACTCTTGCAGAGGAGCGGGCCGAACAACTCAACACCGCCGACTCAACACCGGGACGAAGCATGACTAACACAACTCAGGACCGAAACTATCCAGCACTAGAAAGAATTCTTGCATGCATTAATTTCATCTCTTCTTATTAATAACTCTATTGTTTCTTTCCAGGTATGAGGGTGGGATGAATTTTCATAGGCTGACTATGAAGGATTGATGCTAGAACTGTGAAACCTTGTATGCATTAATTTCAACTCTTCTTAACATTAACGGCATTGTTTAGGTAATCTGACACCTGAATGCTCGAAGTAAACTTCAAATGGACAAGATTCGACTTCAGTTGAAAATGGAAAATATATATATATATATATATATATATATATATATATATATATATATATATATATATATAAACTGATTTAATGCTAATAACATCTAATCTAAAAAGCAATTTAGTTAAATTGTGAAAAGAAAAACGACCAGCGTTCATATGTTTAATGTGAATCTCTTTCCGCCTCGCTGATGTAGATTTGGTTGAAATAAAATTCATTTTTCTGTTGACACTTTTTGATCAGTGAAAAAATGCCAAGTTCGGAGTTTTAAAAATTTGGTATATATATTTATTACGGTCGCTAGAATGTCCTGCCTCACTTCAAAATGAACTCCATTATCCTCGACGATCTTCTGCAATTGATCAGCCAGCATCCGAATCTGTCCCAGATACCAGTCCGCTGGCATTGAATAAAAAACAAAAAACAAACTTTAAACAATTTTCCTTCACTTCATCAAAAGTCTTGAATCGCTGGTCGCGGAGGAAGTATGTCTTTGAGCGGAGTTCGCCGTAGTCACTTGTCGCAGCATCGGGACTGAACGGTGGATGTGGAAGAATCTCAATACTATTCATCTGTTTAAACTTCTTAGTCAACCTGGTAGTGTGTAGCCTCGCATTGTCTTGCTGAAACAAAACCTGATCTTGAATGACCAAAGCAAGGATATTCCTTTAATTTGTCGTACACACGGTCTAGCTGCTGGCAATACAGTTTAGTGTTGATGGCGCGACCGTGTGGAACAAGCTCAAAATGCAGTACTCCTTGGAAATTCCACCAGACAAAGATCAAGATTTGTTGATTTCTTTTCGCTTTCTTACTTTGTACAATTGTGTGATTTTCATCCAAAGTTAAATCATTTTCCAAACAACATCATAGACAGATAAATAAGATAATTTATGGTGTATACTTGTGTATATATTGACTTAATATATAATGCGACA